AAGAGGAAAAAGGAATGAAAAGGAAAGTGTCAGCAAATCTTTGCAGTTCAGTTCCAGCCAGTTGATGAAACAGCAGTGAAGGTAAACAGGAGGTCAGTAACTGACAGAAATGTTTCCATCTCAAATGAAAGAGTTTGATTGTGTGTGAGCAGCTGCTGGCTGGAAAGTCTTCAGTCAAACAGCTGTTGGTGTAGAGAAATGAGTCTCTGCTGGTTCAGATGTTACCTTCAGTCTGCTGGCTGCAACTAAACACACTCAGCTTTAAAGTCAAACTCACTAGTTTCAACACAACGTTTGGTGGAGGTTTGAAACCCTAATGTGAATCATTATCTGCTGTATGCTGACAATAAATGAGAAGCTGAGCATGAAGCTGATCTGATGTCTTCACTGTGTCTCCTGTGTCTCTGTCTGGATTCTCTCTGGTCAGAAGTTCAGAGGTCTCTTTCCTTCCTGTTCACAAACACAAATGATCATGAGTCGCTGCCCTCTGGTGGTCACAGTGACAAACTCCAGCTCCACCTTCTGCAGAGACAAAAATCTTTTTTTTGCGATGAAATTGTGGGAATAAGTGAAAATTGCAAAGGTGGATTTTTACTTGATGGAAATGTTATATTTTACTGTGTTTACTGTTTTACCTTTATATGCCTTACTATAATTGTTACGTCAAATTACAGTCCAACAACATTGACAACGGAACAACTTCTCTCTGTGATTATGGTCAGTAGTGATGAAACGCAATCTGTAGAGCAGTTTGTCCATTTGGGCTACTGTAGAAACATGGCGGTGGAACATGGTGGCGTCCATGTAAGAGGAGCCGCGGTTATGTAAGTAAAGTTATTTGTGTAGCAACTTTAACAGATAAAAATCACAAAGTGCTTCACAGTAAAATGTAATACAACAAAGTAAAATACAATGTATGAAACACAGAAACAAAAACCATAAAATACCCCCTTCTAACTAAAAGCTTGCTTGAATAGCAGTGTCTTCAGTTGCTTTTTAAAAGAATCAACAGAATTCACACAGCGTAGAAAGGGAGACAAAGCCTTCCACAGCCTCGGTGCCGCTGCTTGGAACGAACGATCCCCTCTGGTTTTAAAATGAGTCTAGGGAACCACTAACAACCTTTGACCTGATGACCTCAAACTACGGGTCGAAGTATGAAGCTGTATCAACTCAGAGACGTAGGGAGGAACCTGACCGTGCAGGGCTCTAAAAGTAAGGACCAGGATTTTAAACTGAATTCTATACTGGACTGGTAACCAGTGAAGTGCTGCTAAAACAGGTGTGATGTGCGCTCTTTTGTTAATGTGAGTTAAAAGCCTTGCAGCAGAGTTCTGAACAGCCTGGAGACGGTAAAGCTCCTTCTTGCTCAAACAAGTAAAAAGACTGTTACAGTAATGTAAAGGAGAGGAAATAAAAGCATGAATGATCATCTCCAACTCACCCTTCGACACCAGTGTTCTTAATTTGGATATATTCCTTAGTTGGAAGAAACAGTTTCTGACTAGTTGTTTGGAGTGCTGCTCTAAGGACATCGCTGAATCAAAAACTACACCTGAGCTCCTGAGGCTCAACAATATGCTGTTTAATCAGTTAATATGTAGATATAAATGTCTCATATAACATAACGGTTCATTATGTAAGGTCTTTCTACACCACTGAAAACATAGTTATGGATCTTATATTGAATTTCTGTCAATAGATCCTGTTTATTGATACTTAGTGTTCTCAGAGGCATCAGTACTGGTATTAATAGTCATGTTAATATCCACTTAGTTATAAAGCAACATGAACCACTGTACTATTTAAACTGCTTTAAATACTGACACAAGCTCACAGCGACACTGGGCTAAAAGTTCACCAGCAAGGCCGACTGTCTCTAAAATATGTTACTTTTTTATAATTTAGTTTTGGTTCATTGTTAAAATCAAATTCAAACAGATTGACTTGACTTGTTATTTTGTTTCTACAGTGACCTGCTGATAAGCAGTGGGGAAAAGATGGATGGATAATTCAACATGAAGCTGTATTTTTCTTTTTCAAAGCTGGTTTTAAATTGAACTGGAGCTCAGAAAGTTGCATGTATAACTAAGCTCTACTTCCTTTGGAATGAGCACACCCAGTTGTGTGTGTGTTTTTAGATGGGTTATGCAAACCCTCAGCAGATGGCTGCAGGCATTCACACTTGCCTGTACAGCCGAGCCTTCAAATGAGAGCTGAAATTCTGAACTCTTGTCTCACACTCGGGGCGGCTGTGGCTCAGCGGGTGGAGCGGGTTGCCCATTAATTGGAAGGTCAGCGGTTCAATCCCCAGCTCCTCCAGGCTGCGTGTCAAAGCGTGCTTGGGCAAGATACTGAACCCTGAATTGAATATTATATATAATAATGTCATTTTCTGCACACTGGTCTTAGCACTTAAGCTCAGTGTATGAATGCAGTGTAAAAAAGTGCTTTGAGTGGTTGAAAAGACTGGAAAGGTGCTATATACAAATACAGAGCATACTCATCTTTTGATCTTCAACCCAAATAAACAACCAAAATAAAGGAATTTGCCTTAGCGTTACTTTAGGAGGAGACTGTATAGGAAAACACCTAATCATAAACACTGACGCTTCACTGTCAGAGTGAATTAATATAGATCATATGAGCAGTTATTGAAATGAAGCCATGTTCAGAGGAGAAAGTAGAAAGTAGTCCTTGAGTAAATGTACTCAGTTACTTTCCCCTGCGTCTCCTCAGCCTGAGATCACTGACACGTTAAAGCTTCAACAGAGTTGATAATCAAATCAAGTCTGCTCCAGTTAGCCAACAGTGAAGTGAATCTGATGAGGGAATGAGATCAGGTGAGGAGGTGGGCGGGGCAGTAAGGTGGAGGGGAAAGGAGGGACAGTCCGAGGACACCTGGTGGACGGAGGGGAAATAGCAATGAATGGGCCTGTGGAGTCACAAGGCTCTACTCGTGTCTCTCTTTGGTGCCTCAGAATCAGAAAGAAATCAGAAATACTTTATTGATCCCCGAGGGGAAATTCTTTTGTCACAATTGCACACTTGTCAAGGTAGATAGAAGAGTATATAAACAGAAGAGTATAAATATAGAATATAAAGACAAATATAAAGGAGTGTGGGTATGTACAATATTTACATTATTAAGAATGATTATGGAGAACCAAAAAGGACTAGTGAATAAACAGCAGCAGACAATACTGCACATTAATTATTAAACAGGTAATATTGGACAGAAAGTAGATAATGAGGTCTAGTTTAATAACTGACTAAGTGTCAGACACTTAGAGGGAGGAGTTATAAAGTTTGATGGCCACAGGCAGGAACGATTTCCTGTGGCGCTCTGTGGTGCATTCTGGGGGAATGAGTCTGTCACTGAAAGTGCTCCTGTGTTTGAGCAGCAGGTCATGGAGCGGGTGGGAGACATTGTCCAAGATGACATGTAGTTTGGACAGCATCCTCCTCTCTGACACCACCGACAGAGAGTCCAGCTCCGCCCCCACAACGTCACTGGCCCTGGATCAGTTTGTTGAGTCTGTTGGCGTCCGCTACCCTCAGCCTGCTGTCCCAGCATGCAACAGCAAACAGGACAGCACTGGCCACCACAGACTCATAAAACATCCTCAGCATCGTCCTGCAGATGTTGAAGGACCTCAGCCTCCTCAGAGACGGCTTTGGCCCTTCCTGTAGAGGGCCTCAGTGTTCTTGGCCCAATCCAGTTTATTGTCCATGTGCACTCCCAGGTATTTGTAGTCCTCCACAATGTCCACAGGGACCCCCTGGATGGAAACAGGGGTCACTGGTGCCTTTGCTCTCCTTAGATCCACCACCAGCTCTTTAGTCTTTGTCACGTTGAGCTGTAGGTGGTGTAACGAGGCAAGATGTCTTCCACAGCACAGGGACCCTTTGGAGACATGGTGAAGGACTCCACATAGCTGGGGGGCACAGGCTTTGAGCACCCCGGGACACCATCAGGGCCTCCTCGAGATTAAACCAGGAAACGTGTTTTTAGGAGGAGACCTCCTCTCCTCTGAAGCCTCAGCTGAGGCTGAATCAGCTGATCCCAGCTGTCAATCATCTCTAACAGAAAGTTGTCTGAGGTCCTTTTGTTGTTCAGAGAATGGAAACAGATTTTTAACCAGATGTTGAATCAGAAATCGAATCAAACATGAAACTTGGGAGTGAAACACTTTAAAGACTTCGGTGAAGGCTGCTCTGTGTGTCCTCGCTCCTCGGAGAACAAATAAGAGAGTGGAGGTGCATCTCTCCTCCGCCCACCTGCCTGTCACCTGATCGACCTCAGCCTGCCATCTTGAAACATCGGTGGATCCTTTGCGTTTCTTTTCAGCACGGTGACGAATAAAATAGGACGATGACGAGGAGCTCAAGGAGAGGAATGGAGGAGATTTTGCTCGTAGTGCTTTTAGACTTCTTCTTAGGGCATTTACTTATAGTGGAGTATTTTCACAGAATGGTATTAATAAAGTAAAGGATCAGGAATTTCTTTCAGTACTGCTGCAACTCAAAGACAAAATAATGCAAAACAAAGAAGACGTAGACTAAGGGAATCTGAAAGAAACAAAACTGCCTCGATCCTGCAGAGTATTGATACACACAGTATCTTATCGGTGTGAAGCAGCAGCTGTGCAGCTCTGACCTTCATGTTCAACAGAGAGTTTCATGCTGATCCAAACCTCACAGAGCTCTGAGTCACTAACATGGTCAGGAGAACGAACGAGACTTTAAGTGCAGCAGCCTGAAATATCTCTTAACATGGTCCAAGTACCACCCGGCCCAGCCGGCACAGACACGTGACCCGGTGAACACTCAGTGTGCGCAGACCTCAGTCCTCAACAGGAAAACGGTCTGTGGAACCGCACTCCTGCCCTGCAGCACCCCCTCAGTGGAGGTGAGTCCCCACACCGTGATGGCATCTCAGGTTTGGGTGCCAACAATGTTGTGTAATACAAATGCACACACAGTCAAGGACGTAGGTTTCCACCTGTTCTGCCAAATGTTGTATTGGTGTGAAAGCGCAGATTAATGATTTATTAATCTTTGGATTATAAATAAGAGAGAGAGACATCCGAGACATCAGAGCGTTCAGACACACCGACATCTGGATTTGCATCGGCAGAAATCTGACAATGAAGGTAAGTTTTTAACTTTAACTGTCTGTCTGAATGTTTATCAGCAGTTTGAACATGTTAACAGATTCAGTGAGATTATTTGAACTATTGTTTGCTGACATGTTTCTCCCTATTAAAGCTTAACACTATTTAGAGCTTCACTAGGCTGATTCAGCCTCTCTGGCTACCTGCGTACAATATCTCACAAAGTGAGTCCATCCCTCACATTTCTGTAAATATCTGATTCTATCTTTTCATGTTTCAACACTGAAGAAATGACACTTTGCTCCAATGTAAAGTAGTGAGAGTACAGCTTGTATAACAGTGTAAAGTAGTGAGAGTACAGCTTGTATAACAGTGTAAGTAGTGAGCGTACAGCTTGTATAACAGTGTAAAGTAGTGAGCGTACAGCTTGTATAACAGCGTAAAGTAGTGAGCGTACAGCTTGGATAACAGCGTAAAGTAGTGAGTGTACAGCTTGTGTAACATGTATAACAGTGTAAAGTAGTGAGCATACAGCTTGTATAACAGCGTAAAGTAGTGAGCGTACAGCTTGGATAACAGCGTAAAGTAGTGAGCGTACAGCTTGGATAACAGCGTAAAGTAGTGAGTGTACAGCTTGTGTAACATGTATAACAGTGTAAAGTAGTGAGTGTACAGCTTGTGTAACATGTATAACAGTGTAAAGTAGTGAGTGTACAGCTTGGATAACAGCGTAAAGTAGTGAGTGTACAGCTTGAATAACAGCGTAAAGTAGTGTGCGTACAGCTTGGATAACAGCGTAAAGTAGTGAGTGTACAGCTTGAATAACAGCGTAAAGTAGTGTGCGTACAGCTTGGATAACAGCGTAAAGTAGTGAGTGTACAGCTTGTGTAACATGTATAACAGTGTAAAGTAGTGAGCGTACAGCTTGTGTAACATGTATAACAGCGTAAAGTAGTGAGCGTACAGCTTGGATAACAGCGTAAAGTAGTGAGTGTACAGCTTGTGTAACATGTATAACAGTGTAAAGTCGTGAGCATACAGCTTGTGTAACATGTATAACAGTGTAAAGTAGTGAGCGTACAGCTTGTGTAACATGTATAACAGTGTAAAGTAGTGAGTGTACAGCTTGTGTAACATGTATAACAGTGTAAAGTAGTGAGCGTACAGCTTGGATAACAGCGTAAAGTAGTGAGTGTACAGCTTGGATAACAGCGTAAAGTAGTGAGTGTACAGCTTGGATAACAGCGTAAAGTAGTGAGTGTACAGCTTGTGTAACATGTATAACAGTGTAAAGTAGTGAGCGTACAGCTTGTGTAACATGTATAACAGTGTAAAGTAGTGAGCATACAGCTTGTGTAACATGTATAACAGTGTAAAGTAGTGAGCGTACAGCTTGTGTAACATGTATAACAGCGTAAAGTAGTGAGCGTACAGCTTGGATAACAGCGTAAAGTAGTGAGCATACAGCTTGTGTAACATGTATAACAGTGTAAAGTAGTGAGTGTACAGCTTGTGTAACATGTATAACAGTGTAAAGTAGTGAGCGTACAGCTTGTGTAACATGTATAACAGCGTAAAGTAGTGTGCGTACAGCTTGGATAACAGCGTAAAGTAGTGAGCATACAGCTTGTGTAACATGTATAACAGTGTAAAGTAGTGAGCATACAGCTTGTGTAACATGTATAACAGCGTAAAGTAGTGAGCGTACAGCTTGGATAACAGCGTAAAGTAGTGAGCATACAGCTTGTGTAACATGTATAACAGCGTAAAGTAGTGAGCGTACAGCTTGGATAACAGCGTAAAGTAGTGAGCATACAGCTTGTGTAACATGTATAACAGTGTAAAGTAGTGAGTGTACAGCTTGTGTAACATGTATAACAGTGTAAAGTAGTGAGCGTACAGCTTGTGTAACATGTATAACAGCGTAAAGTAGTGAGCGTACAGCTTGGATAACAGTGTAAAGTAGTGAGCATACAGCTTGTGTAACATGTATAACAGTGTAAAGTAGTGAGCGTACAGCTTGTGTAACATGTATAACAGTGTAAAGTAGTGAGCGTACAGCTTGGATAACAGTGTAAAGTAGTGAGCATACAGCTTGTGTAACATGTATAACAGTGTAAAGTAGTGAGTGTACAGCTTGTATAACAGTGTAAAGTAGTGAGCGTACAGCTTGTGTAACATGTATAACAGTGTAAAGTAGTGAGTGTACAGCTTGTGTAACATGTATAACAGTGTAAAGTAGTGAGTGTACAGCTTGTATAACAGTGTAAAGTAGTGAGCATACAGCTTGTGTAACATGTATAACAGTGTAAAGTAGTGAGCGTACAGCTTGTGTAACATGTATAACAGTGTAAAGTAGTGAGTGTACAGCTTGTATAACAGTGTAAAGTAGTGAGCGTACAGCTTGTATAACAGCGTAAAGTAGTGAGCGTACAGCTTGGATAACAGCGTAAAGTAGTGAGCATACAGCTTGTGTAACATGTATAACAGCGTAAAGTAGTGAGCGTACAGCTTGGATAACAGCGTAAAGTAGTGAGCATACAGCTTGTGTAACATGTATAACAGTGTAAAGTAGTGAGTGTACAGCTTGTGTAACATGTATAACAGTGTAAAGTAGTGAGCGTACAGCTTGTGTAACATGTATAACAGCGTAAAGTAGTGAGCGTACAGCTTGGATAACAGTGTAAAGTAGTGAGCATACAGCTTGTGTAACATGTATAACAGTGTAAAGTAGTGAGCGTACAGCTTGTGTAACATGTATAACAGTGTAAAGTAGTGAGCGTACAGCTTGGATAACAGTGTAAAGTAGTGAGCGTACAGCTTGGATAACAGTGTAAAGTAGTGAGCGTACAGCTTGGATAACAGCGTAAAGTAGTGAGCATACAGCTTGTGTAACATGTATAACAGCGTAAAGTAGTGAGCGTACAGCTTGGATAACAGCGTAAAGTAGTGAGCATACAGCTTGTGTAACATGTATAACAGTGTAAAGTAGTGAGTGTACAGCTTGTGTAACATGTATAACAGTGTAAAGTAGTGAGCGTACAGCTTGTGTAACATGTATAACAGCGTAAAGTAGTGAGCGTACAGCTTGGATAACAGTGTAAAGTAGTGAGCATACAGCTTGTGTAACATGTATAACAGTGTAAAGTAGTGAGCGTACAGCTTGTGTAACATGTATAACAGTGTAAAGTAGTGAGCGTACAGCTTGGATAACAGTGTAAAGTAGTGAGCATACAGCTTGTGTAACATGTATAACAGTGTAAAGTAGTGAGTGTACAGCTTGTATAACAGTGTAAAGTAGTGAGCGTACAGCTTGTGTAACATGTATAACAGTGTAAAGTAGTGAGTGTACAGCTTGTGTAACATGTATAACAGTGTAAAGTAGTGAGTGTACAGCTTGTATAACAGTGTAAAGTAGTGAGCATACAGCTTGTGTAACATGTATAACAGTGTAAAGTAGTGAGCGTACAGCTTGTGTAACATGTATAACAGTGTAAAGTAGTGAGTGTACAGCTTGTATAACAGTGTAAAGTAGTGAGCGTACAGCTTGTATAACAGTGTAAAGTAGTGAGCGTACAGCTTGTATAACAGTGTAAAGTAGTGAGCGTACAGCTTGTAAAGTAGTGAGTGTACAGCTTGTATAACAGTGTAAAGTAGTGAGCGTGCAGCTTGTATAACAGTGTAAAGTAGTGTGTACAGCTTGTATAACATTGTAAAGTAGTGAGTAAACAGCTTGTAAAGTAGTGAGCGTACAGCTTGTATAACAGTGTAAAGTAGTGAGCGTACAGCTTGTATAACAGTGTAAAGTAGTGAGTGTACAGCTTGTATAACAGTGTAAAGTAGTGAGTAAACAGCTTGTAAAGTAGTGAGTGTACAGCTTGTATAACAGTGTAAAGTAGTGAGTGTACAGCTTGTAGAACAGTGTAAAGTAGTGAAGCTTGTAAACAGCTTGTAAAGTAGTGAGCGTGCAGCTTGTATAACAGTGTAAAGTAGTGAGCGTGCAGCTTGTATAACAGTGTAAAGTAGTGAGCGTGCAGCTTGTATAACAGTGTAAAGTAGTGAGCGTGCAGCTTGTATAACAGTGTAAAGTAGTGTGTACAGCTTGTATAACAGTGTAAAGTAGTGAGTAAACAGCTTGTAAAGTAGTGAGCGTGCAGCTTGTATAACAGTGTAAAGTAGTGCAGCTTGTATAACAGTGTAAAGTAGTGAGCGTACAGCTTGTATAACAGAGTAAAGTAGTGAGCGTGCAGTTTGTATAACAGTGTAAAGTAGTGCAGCTTGTATAACAGTGTAAAGTAGTGAGCGTACAGCTTGTATAACAGTGTAAAGTAGTGAGCGTACAGCTTGTATAACAGTGTAAAGTAGTGAGCGTACAGTTTGTATAACAGAGTAAAGTAGTGAGCGTACAGTTTGTATAACAGTGTAAAGTAGTGCAGCTTGTATAACAGTGTAAAGTAGTGAGCGTGCAGCTTGTATAACAGTGTAAAGTAGTGCAGCTTGTATAACAGTGTAAAGTAGTGAGCGTACAGTTTGTATAACAGTGTAAAGTAGTGAGCGTACAGTTTGTATAACAGAGTAAAGTAGTGAGCGTACAGTTTGTATAACAGTGTAAAGTAGTGAGCGTACAGCTTGTATAACAGTGTAAATCTGCTGTCCCCTCAAAATAACACATCACACAGCCGTTAATGTCTAAACCGCTGGCAACAAAAGAGAGGACACCCCTAAGTGAAAATGTCCACATTGGGACCGAAGTGTCAATATTTTGTGTGGTCACCATTATTTCCCAGCGCTGCCTTAACCCTCGTGGGCCTGGAGTTCAGCAGAGCTTCACAGGTTGGCTCTGGAGTCCTCTTCCACTCCTCCATGACGACATCACGGAGCTGGTGGATGTTAGAGACCTTACGCTCCTCCACCTCCCGTTTGAGGACGCCCCACAGAGGCTCAGTAGGGTTCAGGTCTGGAGACATGCTGGGACAGTCCATCACCTTTACCCTCAGCTTCTTTAGCAAGGCAGTGGTCCTCCTCCTTATTCAGACCTGAGACCTTGTCTAACGAGTCACATGACACCGGGGAGGGAAAATGGCTAATTGGGTCCAATTAGGACATTTTCACTTAGGGGTGTCCTCACTTTTGTTGCCAGCGGTTTAGACATTAATGGCTGTGTTATTTTGAGGGGACAACAGATTTACACCGTTATACAAGCTGCACACTCACTACTTTACACTGTTATACAAGCTGCACACTCACTACTTTACATTGTAGCAAAGTGTCATTTCTTCAGTGTTGTTACAGGAAAAGAGAGAATCAGATATTTAAGATGTGAGGGACTTTTTTTCAAATTGAAAGGTAAAACCTTCAGCACCGACTGGCTGCAGAGGCCAAACTCTGTTCAAAAACTAAATAACCTGTCTGTTCCAGCTGGTATCAGTCGTCTTCCTCCTCCTGGCTCCTCAGTTGAGCAGCTGCCAGGAGCTCGTCCTCCCACTGGACTGCAGTGACATCTATAACCATGACAACAGCCAACCCAGTGGAGTGTACACCATCTATCCCATCGGAGCCACCTCTGCTGTCCAGGTACACACACATTTAACAGATAAAAGTGTTTGACTTTCAATTCAAGTCCATTTTATTTATGGAGCACCAATTCGTAATAGAAATTATCACAAATTTTTCATAGAGCTCGATTGTAGTCTAGGAGTCCCACCATGATCAAGTACTTGGCCACAGTAGCAAGGAAAAACCTTGCAGGTAGAAACCTCGAGCAGAACCTGGACGCAGGGTGGTTTGACAGAGAGACATGGTAGCACAATGCAAGTTTTACATAGAGCTTGGAGAGGGAGAGGAGGATCGTAGTGCATCATGGGATAGTCACCACCACCAGTAGTAGTACTACTAGTAGGAGTAGTAGTAGTACTAGTGCAGTTTACATATTTAATATTCCCAGGTGGATAAACTGACTAATGAGTGTGTGTGTCTGTGTGTAGGTGTACTGTGACATGGACTCACTAGGAGGACGGTGGACGGTGAGTATTTTAACTCAAGTACCAAATCTGGCTCAGCAGTTCTCAAATCCAGTTGAGACCAGGAACGAGACAGGAGAACTGAACTGATACACAAAGGGTTTCCCAGTAAATTCCTGCAAAACCAGACAAAGAGTGGCGGATCAGCCTGACGGTGATGTCACGGTTCTAGAGACACAAACCATCAACATGCTACCATTTAATATTTTAAAACGCCATCACCCAAATGTGTCTATTACAGCACTTAAGCCTCGCTATGATATTCTTTGACTTGTGCATCAACGTGTCCGTTGTTCCTGACCTGAAAAGACAAATCCAGCAACTGATTTATGTGATGTACTTCCTGAATATCAGAATCAGAAGTAAGGAGATCAAAGAAACCTACAAGTATACAAAAAATACAGTAATACTATAATACAGTGTTGACAGGTATGTGCAAAAGTTCACAACATTAGCATAAAGCACAGTTGAGTAAAGTGTGGGGGTCAGGTGTGTGTATAAGTGTGTGTTTGGGGAGGGGGGCATGAGAGTCAGTGACAGTGGGGTACCGGGCCTTGTTGAGGAAGCCCACTGCCATCGGGCCGTGGCGAGAGGTTTTGGTCCTGATGGACCGCAGCCTTCTGCCAGAGGGGAGAATCTGAAACAGTTTGTGTCGGGGATGGAAGGGGTCAGCTGCAATCTCTCCTGCACGCCTCAAAGTCCTGGAGGCGTGCAGGTCCTGACGAAATAGAAGGTGACAACCAATCGGTAGTACTGGTTCAGCTCATTTACCAGGCGAGAGTCGTTGATGGAGTGGGGGGCTTTGGGTTTATAGTTTGTGATCTGTCTGAACCCCTCCAGACAGAAGTGGCGTTGTTTTCAGAGAACTGGTTCTTTAGTCTCTCTGGGTACAGTCATTTAGCTTCTCGCACCTCCTTGCCAGACCTGTACTTTAACACCCTGAACCCGGCTCGGCCCCCATTCCTATATGCCTCCTCCTTCTGCAACCTTAGCGGTCTGAGTTGAGCTATAAACTCCCTGGTGCGTGTTGGTATACAGCTAACCTCACAGAAACTGATGTCAGCTGTATACCAACACGCACCAGGATGAGTTATAACAATGACAAACCCTGGTTTAAAGCTAAATTCAGACAAAGACGTCTTCAGTTCTGAGCGACTGGTAGGGAAACTGTCGTTACAACAATCAAGAGCACTAAAATACCAGTGTTATTGATGACCTTGACAACGACCCCACAGAGATTAAATAGCTGAGTTACCCTACCAGTCAGTCACAACTGCATAAGTCTTGAAAACAAAGTCACAAAACGTCTTCAAGTATCTTCAATCTAGTCCAGCTGCACTTGATTTTAACCTTTCTTGGATATCTATGACCTTAACAGACTTCCTGAATGAAGGCTTACCACTGGTTCAAACCTTTGTGCCTGGAAACATGAGCTGTCAGGTATCTGGTGTGTTTAGCTAGTTCTCCCTCCATCCCGTCCCCCCCAGGTGTTCCAGAGGAGGATGGACGGCACCGTGAACTTCTACAGGGGCTGGGATCAGTACAAGATGGGCTTTGGTAGCGCTGCTGGAGAGTACTGGCTCGGTGAGAAACCAAACCTAACTAACACTAATGTGACTTTGTGAAACTCACTGTTCATAACGTTCAAACATTAAACTGAAGTTTGCAGGTGTAAGGATCCAGTCAGCTCATGGTTTAGTACAGTACATGATGTTGATGGTTAAAAACTCCACCTCATGAGTTTCTATGTGTTTGTGTTCAGGTCTTGAGACTCTCTTCCACCTGACTCTGAGGAAGAAGTACGAGCTGCTGGTCGACATGGAGGACTTCAGTGGAAACAAAACGTTCGCTCGTTACTCCTCGTTCTCCATCGACTCAGAGTCCTACGGATACAGACTGAATGTATCTGGATTCAGTAATGGAGGGGCAGGTGAGGAAGCAGCAGAAGTACTTTTGTGTTTTACTGAGTTTCCACAGGAAGGTGATTTTCCCTAAAGTCTCTCTGAATAACTGGCCTTATACTGGATTATTTGGGCGGTCCTTATGCTAATGACTGATGCAGAGCTGCACCAATCAGTGGTCTGCTTCTGTTTCATGAATCACATTCAGGTGTCTGTACCTCAGAGACTCTCTGCAGTCCATTTATCTGGACTCACTTTAGGTTGTTATGTTGCAGGAACAGAAGTACAGATAGTAGGAGTGGTAGCAGAGACATGTTTAAACTTATATAATTGATATATTAATGATACTTTATGATTATATGATTATTTTGATTATAGACCATAGAGTACGGTCTAGACCTGCTCTTTTATGAAAAGCGCTGTGAGATAACTGTTGTTGTGATTTGGCGCTATATAAATAAAATTGAATTGAATTATTTTATTACCTTCAGGGAACTGTTTTTATAATCTTTACTCACTGCTAATTAGTTTACAGACACTCTCAGCTGCATCATGTGGTGTTGAAGTCTTATAGCTGACTCGATATGTGGGCATATTATTTTAATTAAATCATAATAACCAGTAAACGTCAGCAGTTCATGGGTGTGTTGAATGTCTGGTTAGTTCATTATGTGTTTGCTATCATGGATGTTGTTAGGCCTATTTTAGGAGGGCTGAAGCTACCCTAAAATGGTTCTATTCTCCCCCAAATAATAAGAAAGAATTATTAGATTTACAATTTTATTTACAGTGCAGACATGTACTCAACAAAAAGAAGCAAGAATAATACAAATAAATTTTGTATTCTTTGAGGATACATTTGGTGAAACCTCTCTTATTCAACATAGTTCCCAGGTAGAAAAAGGTGAAATTCCCCATGGCAAACCCAACTCACAGGAAGCTTGGACTAATTTATTCCTGGCTGAACCTAGATCCCAGCCACTACATGGGGAAGTGGTTTCTTCTTCTGTTTCTTCTTTGACCTTTGAGCTAGATGTTTTGCACCTTTTGCAGAGCATTGACTCCAAGAAGGCAGCAGGGCCAGATGGACTTGATCCTGTTTTGTTAAATGGCAGCAGAAACTATAGTGAAGCCACTCACTTACATGTTTAACCTGTTCATTTACACAGATACAGTGCCTTTTTCCTGGAAACAGGCTTACGTCACGCCATTACTGAAAGCTGGGGATCCATTTGACACAAATAATTATAGACCTATCTCAAATCTTTTGGTTTTAGCAAAGAATTTGGAGCTTTTAGTGTCTGATCAATTAAAAACTTTTCTGGTTTCACAAAACATCCTTAACGACATGCAATCTGGTTTTAGATCTGGCCAGAGTACAGTTTATCCCTCTCTGATGACATAAAAGCGGTGATTGATTAAAAAGTTATGCTGTATGGCTGTGGTCATGACCTTACATACAGGAGACCATTTCATGTTAATCAAAACCAAACCTTGGTTTGGTTAATCAAACCAAAACCTTGATGTTGGGCATAGAGCTGTAAATTGTTTTCATAGCTATCTCTCTGAACGGACGCAAATTGCAAGGCATGGGAATGTAACATCTGACCCTGTTGTCCTAAGAACGGGTGTCCCACAAGGATCAGTTCTGGGTCCTTTGCTTTTATCATCTACATAAACAATGTCTGCAGTAAGTTTAAACACTCACAGTATCATTTGTATTCAGATGATACTGTAACGCCCCTACACCTGAGACTGCCTGTGCAAATTTGCAGTTAGACTTTGCCTCATTACAATCTGCCCTGTTTGATTTGAAGCTAGTTTTAAATGCAAAAAAGACAAAGGCGATGATATTTGCACCTATAAATACTAAAGTCCCACCTCTTGCTTTTAACACATTGCAAGATGACGCCATTTAACTTGTTGATACTTAATACTTGGGTATCTGGCTGGACAAAGGTTTTACCTTTAAAAAACATATTGAAGCTCTTGCTACAAAACTTAAATTTACCCTGGCATTCTTATATAGATTGAAATCTTGCTTTTTTAGGACTACACAAAAAAAACTGGTTGCAGGATTATTCCTTTCTCAGCTAGATTATGGTGATATCATCTATCAATTTGCACGTCCATCTACTCTGTCGAAGCTTGACCCTCTTTATCATGCGGCTCTCAGGTTCATCACAAATGCTGGCTATCAGACACATTACTGCATCTTACACAGTATGGTAAATTGGCCGTCACTCAAAGTGCGCAGGATGCTACATTGGTACATTTTTATTTTTAAAGCTATTTTAGGTCTTATGCCTTCTTATATCTGTTTAAAGTTTGCGCAAAGTACATATCATTTAAGATCTAGTGACTGACTACTTTGTAAGGTACCAAGAACGAGGACCGACGCAGGAAAGAGGAATCTGTCTTACTATGGCCCTTCGCCCTGGAATGAACTCCAGTCATGGCTTAAGATTGGTGCACTAATTTCCTTAGCTGCTTTTAAAAAAAGAATATCTGACGTATGCACTTGTTTTTAATTAACGGTAGGTAGATCTCTACATTTAGTCCTTATTTCGTTTGTTATACGTATATTTGAAACTCATTCAAATATTTGTAACTTTGTGTAAATCTGTATTGTATTTTAATTTACGTAATGTATTGTTTTTCAACTTCCATCCATCCATCGTCAGCCGCTTATCCTGTGTAGAGGGTCGCGGGGGGGCTGGAGCCAATCCCAACCACTCACACTCACCCTTACCCCTAAGGGCAATTTTGGAGACACCAGTTAACCTAGTCCGCATTCTTTGAA